ATTTTGCATTTTTACAATAAAGATGTACGTTATTGTATATATAATGTTTTACTGGATTCCATGAACCAAAGAACATAGGTATTGACACCAAGATCATGGTAATGTGGACATTTAACCAATAAAAAGAAACTTACTTGAATTCTCTAACAAAAAAAGTGACTTAGGAAATGGCGTGGTTATTACTGTCGTGCACATCCCACCAATGTCACGTAGGATCTTCAGTTTTGTTTTTACCCAAAATCAGCACAATTTTGTGTTTAAGGATGTGAAGGGGCTGGGAGTTTGAGTGGCTTACAGCAGGAAAAACTGGTAATATAATGTATTGAGTACAGTAGAGTAACCAACTAATAATATTCATTTCTCTTAATAGGGAAGAAAGGTAGAATACGAACCACATCTAAAGTCCGCTTTCCAGAAGATGTACATGAGCCAGATATATTAGTATCGCGAGAAACTAATGGCACAATTGATGTCAATGTGGGTTTCCTGCAAAGCCAACACAAATATGAGGCTAGTTTCACAATTGAAGACAACATTAAAGATGATATCGAAGTACCTACAGATCAACAAGTGTTCCTCAGAGTCAAAAATATTTACCCAACCTCAAATGGTATGTTCCATTTCTCTTTTACAGTAGACTTGGTTATAACCAAAAATTTAATTTAAATTTGTGTTCAGGAAAAGCTGTTGATTCTATTGTTGTCATGAACCGTAGGCCCAGTGTACACAATTGGCTCATTTGCACTATAAAGAACCTAGTACGAGTAGGGGGTAACACCGGTGTACTGGTCCATCTCGCAGACTCTGCCCTCATCCAGATGCTGAACAGTCATTGATTAGAACCGGCATAAAATTAGAATTTGCCATCTCATAAAACATGTAGTGTACGATGGGTCATTTACTGGAATCGATACCTTTGCCAAAGTAAGGCCAAAAAAAAAAAAAAAATACTTGTTTAGTGTCACCGCCAGACCCTGATTTTCTAGCCGCTTCTCTCTCTTTTGTATTTTTGGTTTTTTTGGTAAAAAAGTTCTGAAAATCGACTAAAAAATGCCGATAATAGAGGAAAAACGATCGTTTTTTCATCTTCAGCACAGGGAACAAGATGTGTGTGGGTTTTCTTCTTCCGCAGAAAAAAATAGATTCTTTCACATATTGCGTGTTGACAAAAAATGCGGACAATTTGATCGTAGGCGTACATGTTTTTATTTGGTTCTTTTTAGATAATAAATAATGTTTTAAATATGATCATAATAAAGTACTATGAAGAAAAATAATAGGTTACGACCTACTCTTCAATTGGCAGATGTTTTAGGCTTAGCCTAAGTACTACCTAACTATGCCTAGACCCCTAGCTAGTAGTAAGTATGGCTAGGCCTACCTGGCCTAGGCCTAGCCTAGCACTGCAGCAGTACGGAACCACAATGCTTATTAAAATAAATATTGTACAAACAAATCTTTTATGTAAAATTTAGTGTCTTTTGTTATAGCCTTTGTAAAAGATTTGGCTTGGCACCAATGTAGTTTTTGAAATCTCTAGGCCTAAGAAGCGTACACATTAGGGCCTAGGCTAGGCCTAGGCCACCAAAAAAAAAAAAAAAAAAACCCGCAACCCTCCCTCCCCTACGCCTCTGACAATTTTTGGCCTAATGAGTAAAATTATTATGACTTCTCTGTACTAAATATTATTGCTACATTCCTGTGCTAATTACTCATTTTAACATTTAGCAACAGTATTCTGGTTTTGGAATGGCAAGCCTTATGTAAGAAAATAAATTTGCAAATACAAAACAAGTGTACTGGTAAGATTCAGCAAATAATTGCTTTAATTGATCAAGCAACTGTTTCTATTTTAATGTTCGAATGAATAGGTAGTGCTTAATTAACATAACAGTATACAGTAATATATCTTCATTCATTTGTGATTCTTTGTTTACAACCTACAACTACTGTATTACTTTCCATGCTTGAATCATTTATTGCATTGTCAAAACATTATAAACAACTCATAAAACATGATAGTAACAGCAAAACAGCTACAAATAAATTTACATGCAAGATTGAAACCGATTCATGTTTAATAATGAAGTATCTGACCGCCATGTTAAATAACACTGCAATACAGATGTTATTTCAATTTGTACATTATAGTTGATTAGTGCTACTGTGCAATCTAATGGCTTCAAGTGATCATAGATTTCCTTTCAGATTTTTCTCCTTTTCAGTTATTGATTTGTTACTACCTGTCTAGCCAATGGCATTGTTTTTCAACTTTGCTATGTCTTTCTTTGATTAATATGTAGCATTTTTTTTTCCCTTTTGGCTGCTTTAGAGGAACAGCAAAGCTTTTTCTTTTCTATCAAGGGAATACAAATATTAGTTTGTTGATAGTGTGTCCAATATACTGCCCTTGTCATACTACTACCTTATCAAAGTTTATTGATTTCTATCTGAATCCCTTTATGCACCTGGTTTAACAATATTGGACCTACAGTAATTGTATTCAGGATTAACGGAGGATGGAAATTTTGCTTGAGAACAAAATATCTCTAAAAACATGAAATATTGTTAGTACCTTAGTTTAATTAATGCTATACAAGCTATTGAGCACTCTGCTGTTCTTCAGGTGACAGTTTTGTTGATTGTATGGTCCAAAGCTTATGAAAATATTCAAGATGATTGGGTTTAATGGTTTGTTCACTTAGAACCATTCTAGCTCCTCATTATAAGCCAACTCCGGTTAAACATAATTTAGGTTCAAAATTTATTGTGTGTGTGGG